AATACAGACGAGTCTGTAAGGTTACATAAAATTACAAACAAATATTATTTGTTCACCGTTCACAAATACACATGTTATAATACAGACGAGTCTGTAAGGTTACATAAAATTACAAACAAATATTATTTGTTCACCGTTCACAAATACACATGTTATAATACAGACGAGTCTGTAAGGTTACATAAAATTACAAACAAATATTATTTGTTCACCGTTCACAAAATACACATGTTAGAACACAGACGAGTCTGTAAGGTTACATAAAATTACAAACAAATATTATTTGTTCACCGTTCACAAATACACATGTTATAACACAGACGAGTCTGTAAGGTTACATAAAATTACAAACAAATATTAGTTGTTCACCGTTCACAAAATACACATGTTATAATACAGACGAGTCTGTAAGGTTACATAAAATTACAAACAAATATTATTTGTTCACCGTTCACAAAATACACGTGTTAGAAAACGGACGAATCTGTAAGGCTAGATAGATTGTAAAACAAATTACTTGTTCTGTGCTGGCCTGGCGCTCGACTCGCAATCTGAGGGTCGCGGTTTCAAAAACATACTTGCCCTTTCAGCCGTGAAGGCGTTATAGGTGACGGTCAATACCACTATTTGTTGGTAAAAGAGTAACCCAAGTGTTGGCGGGGTGGGTGGCGTTGACTAGCTGTCCTCCTTCTAGTCTATCACTGCTAAATTAGGGACGGCTAGCGCGGATAGCTCTCGTGTAACTTTGCACGAAATTCAAAACGAATCCAACCAAACTTCTTTAGTGTTCGCAAGTCTTCCCAAAATACACGTGTTATAATATAGACGAGTCTGTTAGGTTACATAAGATTACAAACAAATATTATTTGTTCATTGTTCAGAAAATGTACGTGTAACAGGTTGGGTGAAGTTGACAAACAAGCATTACTTGTTCACCGTTCATCAATACGTGCTTTGAAATACGAACAACCTTAGAAGTTACGAAGTGCCAAACAAAAATTAAGCCATTCAAGTTTTACTTCAGAGGAATATGATTCTTTTGTTCATATGTAATATCATTGTCAATCATGGTGTCCTCCCAGTTCTGAGGGTGGACAAAACAAGCGTACTACACGCAAACACGAGAATTTTCCCAAATTCCGAGATTATTCCACAACATAAAAACAGTAAGTAATTTTAATGTTATTTTTATAGAAATTGAAAAATCCTTCGTTAGTGGGTCCCTATGATGCTTTGGTTGTTCGAAGTGAAAATTCAACTCTCCAGTTTTTCCGAAAAAATGGATTTACAGACGACATAATCTTGAATAGCAAGTTCAGGTTTGAAAGTTTTACCTTTGTTCATTTATGGCCTTTTGGAAACTTTTTTTTTTTTTTAACTTGACAACTAACTGTCAACGAAACAAAGTTTTCTAGGTTCTATGAATTAAGTCTGATTAAATATGTTAAAGGTTGAGAAATCATTCTTTAGTCTGATGAATTAAGTCTGATTAAATATGTTAAAGGTTGAGAAATCATCTTTAGTCTGATGAATTAAGTCTGATTAAATATGTTAAAGGTTGAGAAATCATTCTTTAGTCTGATGAATTAAGTCTGATTAAATATGTTAAAGTTGAGAAATGAATTAAGTTAAAGTTTGACAAATCATTGTATACTTTTTGATTTGTACTTATCTGTATTTTAATTGACGATAGAAGTACTTTTTTGTTTTATTTTTCTTTTGTTACAGAGACGTCGACGAAGGGTGGGAAAACTCTACTCTAATAAGTTATCTTCCTCCGTTTGATGGTAAGAATTTCGTTTATAAATTGTACAAGCGGACGGATGACGTGTAAAGTTTCTTGAACTTCATTTTTCCATTCTTTAAACTTTTATTTCCTACACTATACTATCAACACTTGGAATACCTTTCTTTTATTTCCTACACTATACTATCAACACTTGGAATACATTTCTTTTATTTCCTACACTATACTATCAACACTTGGAATACCTTTCTTTTATTTCCTACGCTATACTATCAAAACTTGGAATACCTTTATTTTATTTCCTACGCTATACTATCAACAGTTGGAATACATTTCTTTTATTTCCTACACTATACTATCAACACTTGGAATGCATTTCTTTTATTTCCTATGCTATACTATCAAAACTTGGAATACCTTTATTTTATTTCCTACACTATACTATCAACACTTGGAATACATTTCTTTTATTTCCTACGCTATACTATCAACACTTGGAATACATTTCTTTTATTTCCTACACTATACTATCAACACTTGGAATACATTTCTTTTATTTCCTACACTATACTATCAATACTTGGAATACCTTTATTTTATTTCCTACACTATACTATCAACACTTGGAATACATTTCTTTTATTTCCTACACTATACTATCAATACTTGGAATACCTTTATTTTATTTCCTACACTATACTATCAACACTTGGAATACATTTCTTTTATCTTCTTCAACAAAACTCACGTGTTTAGAAATGACCTGAGGATAACTGAACACTCATTCCATACAGACATTTTGATCCAGTCTATACCTCTTTTTTGGGTTTGAGCTATAATGATATATAAGTATATCCAGATTATTTATACAATTTATATATCACATATAAAGTTGCAATCCTAAGTATGTAATATTTCATTCAACACTAGTAGACATCTTAAAAAAACTCAAACAAAAACTAGCTTAGCCGTACTTTGTAACTCAAAAGTAATTATGTCTGTACACATTTTAATCCACAGGTCACTACCCGCCCTTCCCGGGGACGAAGGAATGGAACAGGCCAGAAGCCGTGGTAGCAATGCAGGAAGAAATGAATACGTGGTATGTGAAAAACATCTGTGCTGGTACTAATAAACACTTCACAATTATTTTCAACAAACGCTGATAACAGGATACACGAAAAGAACGTCAAGAATATGTGTACAAAGAAGTAACATACACCTAGCAACAGCGGCGAGTTTTTTGACTTTCTAAACTCACTACACTATGCACAGTTTGTTTTGCTGTTCTGAAAAGGACATTTCTAAGAAACGTTATTTTGTTATTATCATTCAAAATAATACATTATGATGTTCGTAATTTACGTTTTTCATATTTCATATTTTTGTATAGAACGTCACTTTTATGAGATGCGCGGTTATTATTAGATTAGAATTAAATCCAAAATTAAGGAGACGATGTTTAACCAACTGCATCTATATAATGTCAAACTTTTATTGCTTCAACTAATCTTTTCTATTCACAGGCGACTGAAAAGCCTAGAAGCTTATCAAGCTCAAGTCACGTGCTTAACGAGACTTCAACAGGAAGTGTTAAGACTTCATGCCTTGGTAAACTAATGAGATTTATTAAAATAAGATTTAGTTTTCACACAAACACAGCAGTTGATTAAACATAAGTTTAATAACCCATACAATACGGGTTGTATATGTGTGTATGAAATTCAGATGAGTCACAACTATTACAATAACATTTTATGTTGGAGTATGTTTATTTTAAATATTTTAAGTCTACGTATGTAATATTTACAACTTATTTGGTTCATTATTTCTTCTAAACTTAAAATTGGAGACAATTGATCTGAAAAAAAAATTGTATATTTTAGGAAATATTTAGTCCTGAAAAATAAAGGAAGAATAAAATTGGCCTTATCAGATATTCGGATAAGCCCTTTTTTCCATTAATCAGAAAAATATGTGTATATGAAATAGGTTGCAAAGGTATACCCACGTACGCTCGTGCGTAACATTGAAAATTCAATGTAGGAATTTTCGTTGATATAAGATCTTCATCTGATTGTTTTCTACCAATAGATTTGAAAAAGAAATACCAGTGGTCAAAATGTAAATCTTTACGATACTTTATGCTATATGTATCGTTTTTTAATAGATTATATGCGTAAAAAAAAAGGTCATTAGAACGCGCTATTTCAGATTTAAATTTCTAAACTTTCCTGGAGAAGCCCCGGACCTCCTCCAGCGTGTTGTGGAGAGTTCCACTAATACCCCTCCTTGCGTAATATACGCTTAGCTACCGCCCCTGGTTTGTATCTATTTAAACGTGTTGGTTTGTGTGCTTAATGAAGCAGTATCCTTTTTTACATGCCAATTTAGCTATTACCCTTTAAAATTAGTACCCTATTAAAATTAGTACCCGTTGGGTTACGTTATTAGTGCTATACTAAGACACTCTAAATGTTTAAAATATCCTAATACCATATTATTTTCCCAAAAGGGGGCCAAAGACCGCCTGGAGGGATCACCTGCTTTAATCACTCGCACCACAATAAAGTAGTGTGTTGTCTGTCAGTCAGTCAGTAGACACTCAAATGACGTCACATAAGAGACGCTTAACGTTGCAATTTGTACTGTCGTGACGTCAGTAAAACTTGCTCATTCCATGAATCACAAGAAGAATTATGCACTCCGTAGGCTACAACACAGCATGACATATGGACTTCAAAAACGAGAAATAAAAATGATTTTTGTTATTCTTAATTTTGGTTTTATATACACTTGAAACAACATTTTTGGGACCCTGCGCGAGTACATTAGGTGTATTTTTATATCCACTTATATTAGACACATATATTGTACAAACACTCAGAAGTTTGAAATTTAGTTAGATAGATACATGGTATTACGACGAACAAAGCTATTTCACTTAACCTGAATTGTATTACGACGAACAAAGCTATTTCACTTAACCTGAATTGTATTACGACGAACAAAGCTATTTCACTTAACCTGAATTGTATTACGACGAACAAAGCTATTTCACTTAACCTGAATTGCATTACGACGAACAAAGCTATTTCACTT